GTATGAATAATTTTTGTTTTTGCCTCTATATATATATATATATATAATGTTTAAGATGTGTTATATATTGTTTAAAATTTGCAATATTTATAGAGGAATATTTATTGGGACTGATAGTAAAATGGTTTCTTGTTTTCTCCATGGTTTTGAATTCAAAAAAGTCTTTCTCCTACATCTTTCCAAAGTGGGTAGTACCACACCCACTGGAGGCTGGGGAATGACCCAGGAAGCAAGAAGGAAAAAAGGGATAGTGGGGGGGGGATGCAATACTTTTTTTCTTATTTTTTTAGAAAATCTATATGTCAACATTTTAGTCACTTACATTAATGCTTTAAAAAGAGTAAAATTAACTAAAGTGTTATACAGAAAGTGCAACACTGAAATCAGAAGATGCATTTGGACAGTGAAAGATGCCTTATAAAAGCTAAGCCATGTTTAAAGAAATGGAAAAATTTCATTAGAAACAAATAAAAAAGTACTTAAATGTTATTTAATATCAATACTCTTATATGGCAGTGTATGCTGAACAATTTCATCACAGATTACGAAGAGACTTGAGGCAACAGAAGTATGGTTCTACAGAAGGATGCTGAGAATTCCATAGACTGAACATGTGAGCAATAACAAAGTTTTAGAGAAAATGAAAAAGAAAAGTACACTCATCGAATGTCTGCAGGGGCCAATACTCTAGGTTTGTCAGTGTAGTGATATAGCCATGGATGTTCATCTGGCAACATTTGATCTAATGAAGCTATGAAACCTTCAAGTTTATTGTAAGACAACTAGATAGAGACACAATGGACAACATGGCTTAGGATAAGAGAATTTAATTTACAATTAGATGAGTTTATTCTGCCAATCATTGAATCTTTGCTTCTTAGTGGCTCCTATATTTATTTATTTCTATGCCAGGCCTACAAATGAGGTCCTCATAGCATAGCATATGTGCTGATTCTTTCAGATGTCTAACTGTTATGGTCCAGGTTAGGACCAAGGAAGAACAACACGAACACAAGTGTAGAAATAATAAAGGTATATTACACGAAATAATAATACAAGACATGGAAGGTGTTAGTATGACTGTCAGTCTGGTTTAGAGTGAACTACTATCGGCTCAACTCGATTCCTCTCTCTCTCTCTTGAGAGGCGTAGTATACATAGTGTTAGGAAGAGTTCATTCTGTATTTATAGGTAAGGACCCATGACACTAACTTGCCGATGTTCTTCCTTGTCCAGTATTTTCACTTCATTCCACAGTCACTGATGACTACCCCTTTCATTCCATACACAATCAGCTATATAAAATTTCATTGTCCCCACCCTCACTATGGCTGTTCAAGATTCCTCCATCCTTGCTTTTAGTGGGTGGCTTATTTCACCTGTATCTTCTCTGCCACAACTGCAAGAAATCAAGTACATGCAATTCTTGGTTATGTTCTCTCTCATGTTAGGCTGTACTTGGCAGAGATTTCTCCATAAAATGGAACTGCTTCTGAATAATCTGATGTTTTACAGACTGCAGATCTTCTGAATGTTTTTTGATAAGTCCTTGACATAAGGTAGACAGAGTTTGGTAATTTTCTGGTCATCCTCCTTGTTCCTTCTGTTCCCACTTGTAGATGCTGTTATGTTTGCCAGGTAGTTATTGTAAAGGGCACATTTGATGCTGATCATTTCTTTTTGGTATTTGTCTTGGTCACCACTTATAATTTTTGCCTGGTGTAGTACATATCAAATGACCCCTTTCTTCACACTGTATGGATGGTGGGAATTGAAGTTGAGATATTGTCTGTTGAAAGTTGTCTTGTGATATATGAATATATTGAACCCATTCTCTGTACATGTTCATCCAGGAAGCCTAGCTGATTATTATTTTCTTCTTCCATTGTGAACTGGATCTTATTGAGTTCACATAGTCCAGCAGTATTTGTACAGATTTTTGGTGCATCCAGAGTATGAATGTATATTATCTCAGCCATACTGTTGGCTTTAGTAGTACCATTTTTAAAGCCATTTTCTCAAAGTAATCCATGTATATGTTTGCCATCACTGGTGACAATGGTGAATCCATAGCCAAACCTTCTTCCTGTTGGCATATGTCACACTCTAGATGAAAGAATGTCGTCTGTATACGAAACATCAACATTTTCATCAGATTATCTATTGAAATATTCATACATTCTTGCAAGGAGAGGTCTGATTCCAATCAGTTTTAAACAACTGTCTGAACCTCATCTGTAGAAACTCTGATGAAACAAGAATTGCATGTACTCAATTCCTTGTAATTATGGTAGAAAATATGAAGGTGAATTAAGCTGCCCCCTAAAAGTAAAGATGGAAACTGGAGGAATATTGAAACAGCAAAGTGTGGGGTGAGACAATGAAATCAGGCATGGCTGATCATGTATGGAAGGAAAGAGGTAGTTACTGGCCATTGTAGAATGAAATGAAAATACTGGAAGAACAGCAAGTTGTCCTATGGAAGTGTGGCCTAGTGGATTAAAGCATAGGTTTGTGAAATTGATGGACGTAATGATTGTGAGTTCAATGTCCGGCAGTGTGTACTTTCACTCACTGGAAACAGAAGAGCAATAACTGAGCAGTACTAAATTCCCTGTAGGTTACCCAGATTGATATTCACCTGACTAAGGCCAGAACATTATGATAATAACAACAAAGTTTGAATATAAATAGTGTAGTAAATACAGAATGTTATAATTGAATTTTTTATTCATTTTTTTTAATTTTAAGTAATTGTTTGATATTTTAAATAGTTTACTGCACAACTTATACACTGAGATAGTTCAAAAACACAATAGACTATTGCATGCAATTAGCTATATTAAGAGTCATCATTAGTGATCAGTAGATTGTTTTTGTTCCAGGGTCCATATCTCATCCAGGAATTGAATTTACAATTATACAATTATTTCATGGAACAATAGCCAAGTGGATTAAAGTGTTGGTTGGTGAATTTGGTGGTATAGTAATTGTGGGTTCAATCCCTGAGCTGGGCAATACAAACTCAAGCTCAGTAGAAACATGATGAACAATAACTGAGCAGCACTAGAAATGTAAGATATCCTTAGACATAAGCAGTGAAACAAAAACAATATACTCCTGTAAATTAAATAAAGTGTTCAGTTTGATATTTCTTGCAAGTTACCCAAATTGGCAGATATCTGAAGAAGGCTGGAGGTTGCAATAGTTGAAATGTGATAAGATGAGGACATTATTCAGGATGTAAATAATCATAATTCCTCAGACAGAAATAATGCCCTTTCACTTAACTAATTCTGGGATGCTTTTTATCCATTAATTGGCCTGATTTGGAAGAGGATTTGTTCAGATCAATCATTTTGTTCTCTTGAATACAATTCCATCATAGATGCAGCATCACCTTGTTTACATCAAAATTGACATCTGGTATGATTAGTGCTGATTTATTTAGACTGCCACATCAGATCTTGTATGCTAGCTTGCTATTGAAAACTATTCACTTTCTATTACCTATCACAATTTGTTTAAATAATGGAACATTTAATATAATCTTGTAATTTTTTGTTTATATAGAAGTCACATATGATGTCAACAGACATCAGGAGGCTAGAGAATATACAAAGAAAATGTTATGAAAAAACAGAGGTGAAGAAACTGACCCACACAAAACCATATTCAATGATCTATATCAGTTATCAATACAACATTTAGACAATCATATTCAAAATCATTCCAGAGCCAAAATCTATCTATTCTATAATTTTAAATGTGATTTTATATATTTATTAGTAATGCAACATGATCACCTCTATTTACTAATGTGATATTTGGTTATTTTGGCAACAATCCTCAACACCATAACAATGGAATGCCTCATCAGAAAATAGAGGTTGATTGATTCCTTTTCTTATGGTTTATCAACACATTTCAGGTTATTTAAAGCCAGATAATTTTTTTAGATCGTAACAGTTTTTTTTTGAGATAATAATTATTTAGCGATACAAGTCTTACTAATTAATCCATAGCAGGGGGAAAAGAGGTAGATTCATAATTTTCCCAAAGGTATTTGTTTGTAAGTGAATATAACAAATCCAACTCAAACTGGAACTCGACTCTATGATTAACAATTCTGAACTATTGTCCATTACATCCAAGCTTATAGCACCTGGTATTCCCAAGTGGTCACCCGCCTAGGTGCTGACGAGATTCAATGTTGCTTAACTTTGGTGATCGCACCAGAATCAGTATTTCATGATACGGCCAAAACCCAGGAAGTAGAGGAGATCAGATTACCAATCCAATTCTTTTTATTTTCTTGCACCAGCTTTCATTGGATATTTTTACTTTTAATGCATTAAAAAGCAGAATTCCTTAATATATGCAAAATTAGACTTAATTTTATAGATAAAAACCCTAGATTACATATATAGAATATATAACTAATGTTATTAAAAAAATTACTTAAATGTTGCCATCACTTTTTGATGTTAGCTGTCTTTGGATATTTTTAATTTTAATGATTTAAGAATTGATTGATTTCTTTTTTGCAGCTTATCAACCCTTTGTGGGTTATTTAAAGCCAAAAATATATTTTGGACTGTTGAAGTTTGCTTACAGAATCTGATGTTTCCAAGCAATTCCCTATCTAAGTACTGACTGGGTTCGACAGTGCTTAACTTGATGACGACTGAAAGACAACTTGTGATTTCAGTGTGATTTGACCATAGGACAATGATTTAAGAAGCAGAATTTTTTGTAATGTACAACAATAGAATTAAATAAATAAAAGCTGCAGATTACTAATGCCAATAATATAACCAATGCTATTACAAAATTACAAATTAAATGTTGCTATCATTTTTTAACAGTAGATGTAAAGTACTAATAATTTGTATTTCTTTTACAGATATTATAATTTGATAACATAAAATTAATTTCTTTGAATTATAATTGGTAATTTTGAAAACTGATTTCTTTTATTTCCAGAGACCCTCCAGAGTATGTCTGATGCCAGTAGCATAAGCGGCATGAGCGAATCCAGTCAGCTGGTGAATGAACCAGCCAAAGATGATGGGAAACTCCGAAGTAATATTCCCATGACTAGCTTTAATATGATCAACTCTATTATAGGATCAGGAGTTATAGGTAAGTCATTGGACTTCTTTCTTTATAACCCTCTTCATTTATGTGTTATGTTGTTTCAGGATGTAGCCGATCGTTACTCTTCACAGCTTTCTTTCTTTTGCAAATTTTGACTCTTTACTATCCTTCTTTATCTCTGTTCTGTCATCTATTCATACAAACTTGTCAAGTAGGTTACTCACTGTTTCACTCTGCTTCTCTTATATTCAGTGTCTAATGAGTGTTAAATTCTCTAGGTCCTCTTTCCTCTCTATCTGTCCCAAAATTTTAACACTCTGTTTCTGATTCTAAGCATAAGTTTCCTTGTAGTTCTTATTTTCCTTAAAACTTCCTTGTTGCTTACATGTTATATCCATAGTATTCTTAGAATTCATCAGTAGAACCACATTTCATTTCAAGTCTCTCTCTGTTTGGTTTTCATCAAATTTTCCAGTGTATTTACATGTATATGAGTGTACACTGAAGTCAACAGCAAGTGACAAGTCTGTTTCATGCTTGAATTTATTTTTCTGAAGATTGTGTTCAAGCAAGAAATACATTGTTGTCATTCAGTGTTGACCTCAACATCCATTCTTACATTTACACACATTCTATCTTTGGTATTGAGCATAAAGCTATATATATATATATATATATATATATATATATATATATATATATATATATATATGAAAATTTCTCAGTTAACCTGTAGAAAAAGACAATATTTATAAATGTAAAAGACAATAGGAAAACTGTAATAGTTGCTGACGCGTTTCGTTCGATGTGGACTTTTTCAAGGCAAAAAACGAATTGAATTTATTAAACAAAGTAACTAATAATAACAAAACAAAATGTCCTTAGCAACTGGAAGAATTTAGAGAACGCTATTTTCATACTGTTAACTGAAAATTACTTCAATTACTACTCTCCCAAACAAATGTACACAACAGTATCAAGAAACCAAAAAAATGGTTGAATCCATCAACACAGCAATAAAACCAATATCTTCACATGTGACAGTAATTGACGTAATTTTCAGTTAACAGTATGAAAATAGTGTTCTCTAAATTCTTCCAATTGCTAAGGACATTTTGTTTTGTTATTATTAGTTACTTTGTTTAATAAATTCATTTCATTTTTTGCCTTGAAATCCCAAAACACAGTAAAATAGCAAAAAATACCTTCCAAAAGTTACACATATTATTAACAGAGAAGAAAATCTTGTTAAAAACAAAGAAAAAAAGAGTGACAGCAATCCTCCTATACGGCAGTGAATATTAACAATTTCCTCACAAAGTGAAAACTTGAGCAATTCTACAGAAGGGTGCTGAGAATACTATGGACAGATCATGTAAGCAATGAGGAAGTTTTAGGTAAAATGGGAACAAAAAGGACATGTACTCAGAATCAGAAAGAGACAGCTGACATTTCTGGGAAGCATAATGAGGAAAGACAGCTTGGAGAATCTAAAACACACAGGACATATTAAAGGCAAGTGAGACAGAAGGAAACAGCGAGTAACCTACCAAATGGGTTTGTGTCAATGAATGGCAGAACAAAGACTGGGAGGGATAGCAAAGAAATAAACATTGCTACAAAGGATAGGAAGTTGTGGAGAGTGATGATTGCCCTGAAGAGACACAGCACATAAAAAAACTACTCTTTCTACTTTTATTGACTGATTGCAACCATTCTTCCATAACTACACAAAGTAAGTAGGAAGTGAAGATTGGGGATATGGAGGATAGATAACAATTGACTCTAGACTTGCAGAGATTAAGATCATAATGTTCTGGGAAGCATCCGTGTCTGTTCCACAAAGTAGCAGTTCTGGGGAAGAAATTTTTGAAAGTGGAACTCTCTTCTTACAAAAGGAATATGTAGAGACTGAGGGTTATTCAACCATGGGGATGTAACAAGATATGTCTTGGCTGTAAAGGTCTGAACTAGGGACACTAAAGAAAGAAGCCCATCTGAATATTTGTCCTGGAAGTAGTAATAGCCAGCAGTAGGCTTGCAACATTGTGTCTGAAGGAAAGGAGCTTTATAGAAGTAACTAACTTATCATGCACAAGGTTATATTTAGAGGACTAAAATTCACTACAACTCATCTAAATCCTAGAATGGTCAATTTCAAACTTTACTAGACTGCCTCACCAACACAAATTATAATATATATACTAGATGCAACATACTCTAAACATATTTTTTTATTTAAATATCAGTCATATATGCCATCAAAATGTTCTTTTGAATTTAGAGACAGTGTCTCAATAAAAGTGCTCAACCACCTGTTCTGTAAACAGGTTAATAAGACTAGACAGGTTCATCTATCACTGGGCTTGTACCCCTTCCATGTTTATTGAACAGGTGTAGAGGTTTAACTCTTGTTTCCTTTTTAGTATGTGGTTTTTCAGTTCCTTTCTTCCGTGGCCTTAATGATTTTAACTGTCTTAAATATTTTGGTGATCTGATAAGTGGTTGTAACTTTTCATTTTGAGAGTATCTGGTTAGCAGTTTTTGGATACTGCATCCCAATTGGTTGCAATTAGTACAAAACTCTTTGGTAACACTTAAGAGCAGCTGCTCTGGTGAACAGTTATATAATATAACTACATTTATCCACATGGATCTTTGCTTATGCTTCTAGTTGGCAACCCTGTGGCCTCATTAGACCTTGAGTCTTAGCTACCTTCTAACCAGTTTTTATTGCCATAGATAATGGACATTGATAATTATTTTGGCCTTTTTCTTTTTAAAAATTAAAATATTATTTTCACAACAGTTACCATTAAAAGTAATGAAAGTAAATCAGTAAGAAAATTATCACTGTTTATAAAAAATATCAATAATGTTGATTATTATGATGATTGTAAGTACTTCCGGACCCACTAGGGAATGTGGTAAGCAAAACAGATCCAACAGCAGTTTGAATAAAACAGTTGTTGAGATTACCATGTCTTGTGTCATCTTTGTGTTGCTTCAACTTTTCAGTCTCATATAATTTATCTTTGTACCCTAAACCCGATGGAAAAATCACCTCAGATTATCAACTTTTCTTTCTCTAGTATTTGTTGTATTCATACCAATTTTGTTAGTGTAGAATCTTTTTTCTTGAAACATTCTCCAGATATCTTAATGATTTGCAAAACTATTTTGAACTCTTCCATCTCTACCAGCAAATTTTCTGCCTGTTTTCCTCTTTATTGAAAAGATTCTACAATACAGTTGCATGTCTTTAGTGTTTATACTCAGGAAAATCTTCCAGTGGCAAGGGAATCATCTCTTGAGTTTTCCAGATGATTCATTCATCTGTTGCTTGGAAAGATGTTTCACTGGGTTATGCTAGACTATTTTTCTTGCTAGAATTTATCTTACATGGTCTACCATTCATCCATGCATTTAATATTGTTGCCACATCTGGTCAGGTGCTGTGTGTCTCGGTATTATTCACAAAATCCAAGGAAGAATCTGCAATATCATATGTCCTGACTTGGCATCTTGATTTCAGTCACTTTCCTACCGCCATTACATAGCTTCTCTGTACTTTATCCTATAAATATTTTCATGGCGATTGTTATGATGGGCTTTCATCTTTTGTATATTGATTTCATGAATTTATAGATCTCATCATTTTACAGTTAAAATTGCTAGATGTAACTATACATTCTATTCTAACAGTTTCTTCTCCTGTAGATCTTACTTGTGGAACACTCTTCTGGTTTCTTGCTTTCTTGTCAACTATGATCTTTAAATTCAATATCAATTTTTGTCATCTGTCTTTTTGAAACTTGATCTTTTATTGTCCTTTCTGCTCAATAACATTTTCTCAGTTTTTTCACACTTAGTGACACCCTTGCATCTTCATTGCTTTATTTCCCAGCTATGGTTTAAATGATTAAGAAAAAAATAAAAAACTGCTTATGTTAAATATGAGATTTCAAAAGCTATCACTAATTTTAAAATAAGTATCATTTTTTTAAAGATACACAAACTCATTCCAAAAAAGCTTCAGTATTGATTGAAAACTTTCTATATAAAAATTTTATATGTATTTAATTATTTGAAAAAATTGTACTAGGAAAATTCATTAAGGTAAAAATGAGTAAATTTTGGGTATGATATTCCATGTTATGAATCCAACTACATCACAAGAAGAATTATATAAATCCTATCACCTTACAAGAATTACAATCCTAGCCCTGAATCCCACCATAACACAAGAATAATCCATCATGAACTTAACAAGGATAATTCCTATGAAGAATCCAGTAAGTTCCCAAGAATAATCCAAGTTATAAATTCTATCACCTCACAAGAATAGTTTTCACTATGAATATACCCACCTCATGATGTAGTGATATCAATATCAGCTGATATCTTGTTAAATGAAAAAAACATCTGAATGATGTTACAGAAATTGTTTCAGTCACTTATTGTCTTGATGATTATAAGCTAAGTGAAGTGGACCTCACAAGAACCATGTCAAATGACTATGATAAGAAAGGTGACTGAGTGGAACAAGACCCTTAGTTCTTGATAAATTACTTTTTTTAGACAAAGATGACAAGACAATGCTGTTCTCTATAAGAGCAGTCAAAAACAGAGAGACCTACAGAAAGCAAACAGAGAGGAATGAGAGATCAATCATTGTGATTTGCTCTGTCTTTTCCAATGGAAGATTAAAGCTAAATAAAATTTGCTTACTGCTACAATCAGGTCATTGTTTTATTTCATGAGTAAACAATCTGGCCAAAGAGAATTATTTTAAAGCCACAAGCTTTTGACTGGGAGAGAATGCACTTTGAGTATGAACTTTGTGTCTGATCTGAGTAACAATGATATAATAACAAAAGCAATCATTGTAATAACACCACCAACTCATATTAAGAGCAATAGTTTTAACACAACCATTTCAACTGAAAATTCATTAAAAATGCTTTTTGATACTCAAGGATTATCAGATACAATATACATTTGAGGAAAGCCAAAAAATTTCTCTATTGAAACACTGGATTTAA